GCCACATCCTCCAGAAATTCTGTTTCTTTTTTATGGGGTGGGGCCACAACATTAGTAACAAAGAAACAGAATTTCCGAGGGTGAGGCCCAGAAATCAGGATTTTAAAAAGATTCCCAGGTGATTCTAATGTGCAGCCAAGGTTGAGAACCACTGATCTAGATAATGTGGTAACTGATTAAATGTGAATGCTTGAATTTATTTGGATGTATAGGGATGCCATAACTAAAAATAAAAAGTTGACCAATTTGTGGGGCAATGATGAGTTCAGTCTGGGGGCATTTTGATGAGTATGTGGATATCCAAGTGAAGATACATAATAGACTATACACTAAGTAGTAGGGCATTGATTAGAGGGTTCTCTGGGAATATAATAGTTCCCCAAGCCCCAATTCATGGTTTTGCTTTTCACAGTTTGTTACCCACAGTCAACCTTGGATCCAAAAATATTAAATGGAAAATTCCAAAAGAACCCCCACAATTCATGTTTTAAATTGCGCACCATTCTGAGTAGCATGCTGAATTCCCATGCTACCTCACTTCTTTGTGATCTCATCACATAGCCACTGTATCATGTCACGTCATCACAAGAAGGCTGAGTACAGTACAATGAGATATTTTGAGAGACCACGTTCATGTAACTTATTACAGTATCTTGTTAAAATTGTTCTCAATAGTTACTGTTAATCTTTTACTGTATCTAATTTGTAAATTAAACTTTATCTTAAGTATGTATTTATGGGAAAAAACATAGTGTGTGTGTGTATCTATATACCTATCTATTTATCTATCTATCTATCTGTCTATCTATATATATATATATAGTTCAGTACAACTTATTGTTTTAGGCATCCACTGGAGGTCTTGGAACATACTTTGGAAACAACAGTTAAGAGAAACACAAAAAACAGAAAAATCAGGAGAACATTGTGGAACAGAAGTAAAAGGAGAACTTTAATGTAGGGATAGAAATCCTATCTAATAAAGAGGGAATATGCTAATTGACCCTCATGCCATCGCAAAGATGGCGGCGCCCACAGCGAATAAGGATGGAATATGCTAATTGACTGCCCTGCCCTTAAAGATGGCGTTGCTCACAGCCAATAAGGAGGGAATATGCTAATTGACTGCTCTGCCCTCAAAAATGGTGGAACCCACAGCCAATAAGGAGGGAATATGCTAATTGACTACCCCACCCTCAAAGACAGCGGTGCCCACAGCCAATAAGGAGGGCATATGCTAATTTCCACACCCTCAAAGATGGCAATGCCCACAGCCAATAAGGAGAGAATATGCTAATTGACTGCCATGCCCTCAAAGATGGTGGCACCCACAGCCACAAAATGGAGGCGCCCAGTCCCCTCAGCCCTACTGGGGTGCCTGCCTCCAGAGTCCCCCAGTCCCCTCAGCCCCCAAGGGCCAGCCTGACGTGCAGGCAAGCCTCGAATGGCGACTGCCCAGCTGCCCAGGGCCAGCCGGAGGCACAGGCAAGCCTTGGATGGTGGCTTCCCAGCCGCCCAGGGCCACCCGAGGCTCAGGTAACCAGGGCCAGCTGAGGCTTGTGCTGCTGGCAGTGGCAGCAGCAGAGGTGTGATGGGGGCGTCGCCTTCCCCTGATCGCCGGGTCGCCTCCCACCCCTAAGGGCTCCCGGACTGTGAGAGGGAGCAGGCCGGGCTGAGGGACTCCCCCTCCAGTGCATAAGTTTTCATGCACTGGGCCTCTAGTAGTTAATATTTTCAAATGCTACAGAGGGTTAAAGTAAGATAAAAATATAAATATTGCCCTTAGTTTGGTTGATAATCTATGTAAATTTTAGTAGGTTAAAGAGTGAGTTAAAGGTTGAAAAGGACTTAGTAGCTTGACTAGAAAAGGAGTTTAGAAAGATAACTAGAGGGAGATTGGGGTTGAAAGAACCTCTATCAGAAGAGCTTTTGGCTACATCAATAGAAAGCCCAGTTAACAATGGCTTACGAGCAAGTAGGGATTTATTTCCTCATATAATAAATCTGGAGTTGGGTGGGATTGTTCAGAGACAAAATAATTCAATGCCTTGAGTTTCATGGCTTTTCCATCATGGGCACATGGCTGCCACAGCTTCAGGTAAAATATCTGCATTCAATGCAAGAAGAAATGGAGTGTGTAGCACTAGCAACATCACTACCTTTTATCAGAAAAGGTTTTCCCAGACACCCTTCAGCAGACTACTGCTTACATCTCCTTGACCGCAGCTGTGTTACATGGAGACTAATAGCAAAGGAGACTGAGAAAATAAGCATTTGCTCTTGGAGCCTCTATAGTAGGTAGACAAAGAAAAGGTGGTTTGATAAAGGTGTTGACTTAGCCCACAATCTGCTGAAAATGTGTTTGTATGACTTAAGGTAGAAGAATTGAGCATGTTTATCTCCTAAAAGAGCTGTGGAGTCCAGCCGGTGTGGCTCAGTGGTTGAGCATCGACCTATGAACTAGAAGGTCAGGGTTTAATTCCGATCGTGGCACATGCCTGAGTTGCAGGCTCAATCCCCAGTAGGGGGTGTGCAGGAGGCAGCTGATCAATGATTCTCCGTCATCATTGATGTCTTTATCTTTCTCTTCCTCTCCCTTCTCTGAAATCAATTTCATATTTTTAAAAATAATGAAAGAGGTGTGGAGACTCTAAAGGTGCATAAAGGAGGGGATGTGCATCTCAAAGTGGGAAAATAAGATTTGGAGCACAGGTAAAGGATGCAGGAGTCTTTTTCACTGGGAAGGACACTTTCCACTGGAAGAGGTGGTAATCAGTGATGGGTGCAGATGTTTGTGGGTGACAATGGAAGAGGTTCCCTGTGGATTCTCAGTGTTTGGACTTTGGGCAGTTTTAATTCATGGAGTTCGAACATCAAAGACAAAGGAGGAACGGAACACTAAACTGTATCTTCAGAAACTGAGATTTTAAATTTTTCTTCATTTCACCCAGTTTCCTCCTTTCCCTTCACCTATTTTTCTTATACCTCATTCCATCTCAAGAATACAAGTAGATGGGAGGAAAGGCAGTGAAGAAATGGGTAGAAAATAGAAGAAAGTGATTAAGACAGCAGCACATTAAAGGCTCAAAAGGAAGGCACAGGATAAGGGGAAGAAGAAGAATGAAGTTATTGAAGCCTAAGATGGATGTGGTAACTCAAAGTCAATAAAATATTAACCCATGGAGGGAGCACCAGGACACATGACCCAGATAAATGGAGGTTTCACTACTTTTTCAGGAGTTTTGGAAGTCTTAGACCCTGTATGTCAGTTCTCAGCCATCTCGGGCAACAAGTAATGAGGACTTTGTACCTTTCCTCTATCAACAGGTGCAGCACTCCTGGTTCCATGCATTAGACATGACACCTTGGGCAAGGCACTTAACCTTGGTGCCTCCCTTTTCTCATTTGTTAATAGTGCAAACCTCACAGCTTTACTAGTAGGTTGCATTAGGTAAGTAATGTAAAGTGCTTATGAAAGTGTCCAGCGTGTAGTTAGTACCCAACAAATGTTATCACCCTCATGTACCTGAAAACAATAATATCCAAACTCCATAGCATGGCGTCCAGAAACCTTAATTATCTTAGAATGACTATGCTCTCAAAACATACCTTGTAAAAAGGTTTATAAAACTGGGAGTCAGTTCCGCCCCAGCCTGCTGTAATAGCTTACTAACTGGTTTCCCTGTATTCCTTCTAGCCCCACCATAGTGTGTTCTCCACACAACTGACCAGTGATTCTGTCCAAGTATGCTCAGCCATGTCACTATTTTGCTCAAACACCTGTAATGGTTTCCCATCACACACAGATTAAGTCCTGCAATCGTCTTCAAGGGTTCTAGTTACCCTTTGAACTCATCTCCCCCTCTCCCTTGTTCACCAGGCTCTCTCCAGTCATACTGGACTTCTAAGCCTCAAACTCAACCAGGTACCCTTCTCTGGACAGCATGCCTGTTCCCTCCGACTTAGAGGGTTTCCCCCCAGAGAGTCACATGATTTCCTCCCCCACTGTATTCCAGTGTCTGCTCAATATTTTCTGAGAACTTCCTAAAACGCTACTTAAAATAATCCCGAACCTCTGTCACACTCTGAAACTTAACCCAGCTTCACTGTCATCAGTATCTGATATTTTGTTTATTGACTTCCTCCCCGAATAGAATTACACCTGAATAAGTGCAGGGTTTTCAGCCCCTAGAACAATGCCTCACACATAAGTGCTCCAAGTAGGTATCTATAGAAACCTTCAATAAAACCCCAAACAATGCTGTAGTGTCACATGAAAGTCACTGATACTGCTCCCTAAGAGGTAGCCAACGGGTTAGTTCCCTGACAAACCTCAGGTCACATACTTGAATTTTTCACCACCTACAAAATTGAAACCCTCTCATCTTCCTGAAAATCCAGATAAATCGCCAAGAGCCAACTCTTCCACCTGCTCTATGCTTCCCAGGCACCGTGCCCGACGCCACCGCCCAGGTCCCGAACCTCCGCGGCAGCCTCCTCACTCATCTGCCATCCTTCGGCCCTCGTCCTCCCGCCTCCGCATCCCATTTCTCGCCGAACCACTCCAGGCCCGACAGCCGGCCACACTGTCAGTGTCGGTTGCGTCCAGGCCGATGCACAGTCTCGGTCTTTGGTCTGGCGCGCGCCTTTCGGCTACTCCGTCCTCCGGGACCGTTCCTGAGCCGCACTCCTCAGCGGACCTGGCGCCGCTCCACCAGACTGACCTGCCTTATCCCAACTTATCGCTAGCCTCTAGCTTGGGCGTGTTTCAAGGCAGAGACCGAGTCCCAATCTGACCAGAGCGGAATCAAAGCCGCAACTCCCAGTGAGCACGCGGGGAGTTATCTGCAAACTGGACCGGCGACGCCCCGCCGAGGCCTCTGGGAAATGTAGTTTCAGTGTAGAAAGCCTCGGGACCTGGCACAGGGGGGACGGGGAGCGGGCGGAGGGGAGGTAGGAAGTAGGGGGCTGTCTGCTTGGGAGCGCAATATTTTCTTCCGTGCGCCGCGGTGGATTTGCCAGATGGGAAGTGGCCTGGGGAACAGAACGGCTCAGCCTTCGAATTTGGGGAGATTCGTCCCTGCGGTTCCCAGGGCAATGCGCAAGCGCAGTTCAGACCCAGGCTGCAGACTCCAGCTCTTTGTTCTGCGGCGAAGTGGCGATGGAGATCTCTCACTGCTGGCAGGGTCTCCTCGGCAACCCAGGGTAACCAGGCACCGTAGTCAGAGCCTCGTTTGGAGAGCTGGAGTGGCCGTGCGTGGTTGCGTCCGGGGAGAAGAACGGAGATGAAAGCCCGGGTCATGCTCCGTTCTGGAGGACGCCGATGTGATGCCGCAAACTTCCCAGGATGTATGGCTAAGTTTGATTCCAAAGAGAAAAGGGACGACCAGGTATGGGTTCTTGGATTTCGGGCTCGAATCTGCGAGTGCCCTCAGGAGGACGCGGGCAGGGCTTCTGGCGTGCATCTTAGAGCCGACCCCGGGAAGCCCGATTACGCCCAGCGGGCAGATGGTGCTCCGGATGGGGTTGTGACACTATATGTGGAGCCATCCGAGAGGGCAGCAGAGCAGAGGGCGAAGGGTTGTGTGAAGATTCCTAACCCTCTTCCACTTGCTGCCTCCCCCATTTTCCCCAAATACCTGCTTATCTACCTTTCACGCCAGGTGACCCAAACTGGGCCCCGGAAGAGGACAGGCCTGAGGTCAGGGAAGTGCTTGGCTTGAGAGCCTCAACAATGAAGGGGGTGGGAGGGGGGGGGAGGGGAGGAGATCTACCCTTCTTTGCTTCCTTTTGGAGGAGAAAGAAGTCGACTCTCCTGCACTTCCTCACTCCACTCCCAGAAGTAGGCAGCTGTCCAGCGAGGAAAGGCTTCTTTAGAGAGACCTCTCGGAGTAACTTAAGGGCAAAGGCCTGGGAGCGGGTAGAAAGCGTGAGAGCTGGGTCTGGAGAGTGCTTTCTGCAAAGAGAAGTCAATGTATTTATGATATGGAAGGGGGATGCTAGGGGAAATGTGTGTGCGGGGGTAGCAGAATGGTGAGTGATTCCTCTTATTGTGGGGACCAGCAGAAATGCTCTCAGAAGGAGAGAGAATTGGGAGCAAATAGGGACTAAGAATTGGAGGGCTCCCAGGATGTGAATGTTCACAGCCTCACCCTGGACCACTGTGTGCTTTCTTCTGATGCAATCCTCTTCTCATAACAGGTGTGTAGAAGTTTCTGCCTGAGGAGTCCTACTCTGCTTGTTCCTAAAAGAGCTCATTAGAGAAGAAATGGCTTTCAGGCACCTGCCAAACATGGTCCAGGTGAGTGGGGGTTGTTGTGGAGCACTCTTCCACACACTGAATTGCATTAGATTTGAATGTAGAGGTTTGGAGAGTGTGGGCATGTTTCTTTTCCCTGACCAGAGGTTTTTCTCCCAGTCCAGTCTCATTCAGAGGACTGATGCAGTCACTACATTCTCCCTCCCCCACCATGTCAGGCTCATCCTAGTGGGTGTCATCCAAGCTAAAGAACTTGTTAAAGGTCACAAAAGTGACAACTGGAACTGGAATCCAGGTTGGTCCAAAATAGAAACCTGCACTCTTTCTACTAGCAAGTAAGATTAGGGATCTAAAGTGATAAAAGCAGTGCTTAAGGCAGGAGTTGAGAGGAGAGATGGGAACACTTTCTTGAGGAGGTGGGGGTGATCGGGTCGGCAGGGGAGGGCAGTTGGGGGCGATCAGGATGGCAGGGGAGCAGGTAGGCGTAGATCAGGCTGGCAGGCGAGTGGTTAGGGGGTGATCAGGCTGGCAGGGGAGTGGTTAAGGGGTGATCAGGCAGGCAGGCAGAGTGGTTAGGGGCAATCAGGCTGGCAGGCAGGCGAGCGGTTGGGAGCCAGCAGTCCCAGATTGTGAGAGGGATGTCTGACTGCTGGGGTCCAGAGAGGGGTCCCAATTCGAAAAAAGTCCAGCCTGGGTTAAAAAACCCCCCCCCCCCCCCCCCGCCAGTGCATGAATTTCATGCACCAGGCCTCTAGTATTGTAATAACTATGTATGGTGCCAGGTAAGTACTAAACTTACGGGGGGAATCACTTCATAAGTTATATAAATGTCTAATTACTATGTAATATTGTATGTCAACTATAATCATAAAAATTTTAAAAAAGATTATGCTTTCAATTTTAATAATTTACTAAAAGGCTTTGAGCAGAGCCAACCTCTAGAGAATAAGGATATGGACTACACTATGAGGGAGATAGCATTCATTTGAGTGTATAAATTCCAATGAGTTTGGTAAAATTGTTCTAACTCCTTCACATTTAAGCCTGTCTAGGGTAGGAATCTGTGGTAGAAATCATTGCAAGGGATGAGCAGCTCCTAGTTTCTGAGTTGTCCTTTAGGACCCATCTGATGCACCACTTTTTCTGTGCAACTGGTCTCCATGGTGCCAGTGCACTGGGGTATTTCTCTTCCATGACCATTTTCTCAAACTCATTGTTGGTGTTATGCAATTATCTTGTGTTTACACCCTGCCTTAATTGGTTTGCCATGTGAAGGGGTAGCTGCCAGTCAACAGGGATGGGCTTGTTGTTACAGGAATCAGTGACCTTCAAGGATGTGGCCGTGCTCTTCACCCAGGATGAGTGGGCACAGCTGAGCCCTGCTCAGAGGGCCTTGTACAGGGATGTGATGCTGGAGAACTACAGCCACCTGGTCTCACTGGGTAAGTGGGGAGCCTCTGAAGGCTTACCTTAACATGTGGACATCTCTTGGGACCTTAAACTGGTAGCACAGAGCTGGCATGGGCTGATTGAAGATGTTATTTTTAAGTCTATGACATGCCTACCTTGGTGTCCCAGACACAGCATTCTTTTGGAGCATAGAGTGAGTGGGGGTTGAATCCTCCCTCCCTTTGGCAGAGAGAAGGGCATGGGCATAGGTTGTGTATCAGACCTGAGCCATCTTTTTGTCCTCTGGGAACTCATCTCTATCTTGGACCTTCCCATCAATCACCTTTTCCAGCAAGTTCTGAGGACCAGATCTCTTCCTTGCAATGATTTTTCTATAGCAGGAACAGATGTGGTCCATTTTTTCCCCCCTTAAAAACAGGGCTCTTAGGACCCAAACCAGATCTGTTTGCCCAGCTTGGAAAAGGGGAAGAATGGACACCAGAAGACACCTCCCGAGGCTTCTGTCTGGGTAAGACCCTGTGTGTGGGAGGCATGGAGAGAAACTCAGCAAATGCGACAGGCTTGTGGACCTAGAAATGAGCATCTTCTCCCTTTTGTTCACCTCAATACTTTTTGTCACCTTTGTCCCTGCATGCATATGTCACTCCTTTCTTTTGGCCATTTGTGCTTCCCTAAATCCTCCTCTCTGGGATTTTTCTTCTCTCCCTATCTGGTATAGATTAATCATCTCTGGTTTGGAAAACACCTCACATGTAATCTGGGCAGCTCCCCCACCAGGTTCCATTGTCCCATTCAACACTTGACAGTGCAGATTCTGTTCCTACTTCTCCAGTGAGGAGGAGCCACGCTGGGTCACACACAGTAGGGTGGCTTCTTCATAGTTATGGACCAGTAACCATGCTCATCCTGAGGCTACTCTTCTAACTAAACATTGCACATTTCTTCAACTGCTTTCCTGTTTGTCCAGATACATGTACATGTATTCAGCCAGCATTCAGTTACTTTCCACCTTCTGCAGTAGCGCACTAATTAAATTATACTCTGCTGTATCACTCACATCCAGCATCCAAATGCGTGGCATCTGGGTGGGTGGCATAGACTTGTTGCTTAGGGATACAGAGAACATGATAGTTTAGTGGTTGTTACTTGTCTTGAGGAGCCCATTGGATCTGGTAGCTTAAGAGCAGGAACAGGGGTGCCTCTCCTACCCCTGAATGTGCTAAAGCAGCGGTTGCCAACTGGTGGTCCGCGGACCACTGGTGGTCTGTGAGGTCAGAAAGGTTGGCAACTGCTGGTTTAAGGAAACCTTTGGAGCAGCAGTCGCCAACCAGTGGTCCATGGACTACTGGTGGTCTGTGAGGTCTGAAAGGTTGGTGACCGCTGTTCTAGAGAGCTTATTGCCTTATCCAGTACTACATTACAACATTTCACTTTTACTATCACACTTGCAGGCTATAAAATACACACACACACACACACACACACACACACACACACACACACACTCTAGAGGCCCGGTGCATGAAATTCGTGTACTGGCGGGGTGTTCCCTCAGCCCACCCTGCCCCCTCTCAAGTCCGGGAGCCCTTTCCTCTTTTGGCCTGCGATCGGCCTGGGAGGCTGTGGGCTGGCCGCCCTTTCCTCTCAGGGCCTGCGATGAGCCAGAGAGGCTGCCGGCGGCCCGCCCTTTCCTCTCTGGTCCTGCGATCGGCCAAGGAAGCTGCAGGCAGGCTCGCTCTCTCCTCTCTCAGCCTGCTCTGGGCCGCGGCGGCTCGGGCTGGCCCCCATGTCCCTGTCCGTGTCTGCTTTGGCCCCCCTATCTCTGTCTCCGCTCAGGGCCTCACCTGTGCACGCAACCTCCTCCTGTCTGGTTGTGACCCATTAGGGCGGGCGTCCCAACCTAATTTGCATATTACATCTCTCTCTCCCCTCTCTCTCTCTCTCTCTCTCTCTCTCTCTCTATATATATATATATATATATATATTTGAAAACCTTACTGATGTTTCACAGTAGTAGGCAGGAATTTATATCTTACGTTAAAAAACTATATACCTATAATGTCTAGGACACAATCTCTTATGGAATTTAAATGTATGAACTCCAAAACAGTTATCAAAAACATTTTTTACCCCAATAGCATTCTGAATTTGTATGTTTTATTACAAACAAATAAGGCATCTTAATATTTCATTCTGTATTAAACAAACATTGTTATTACAGACAAGGGGGGGATTATACAAATTCATTCACTGTCCTACCACTCCAGTATCATGAATGCATTCTTCCATTTACTCGTCACTAACACTAGCTCTTTTGCACTGGTGTGCGGGGAACATGAACATGAAGAAGGACTTTGATGCCGATAAGGGACTCTATAGTCAGGTGTGGGAATGACTTGAAAAACCTGGTGGTTGTGATTCATTTCTTCCCAGATGCCTTTCACAGCCCTCAGATCTAGCACTTCTTTTTTTTAATTTATTTTTATTTTTATTTATTTATTTATTTACTTATTTAAATATATTTTTTATTGATTAAGATATTACATATGTGTCCTTATCCCCACGTTACTCCCTCACCCCCCCCCCCGCTCATGCCCTCACCCCCCCGTTGTCCGTGTCCATTGGTTAGACCTATATGCTTGCATGTAAATCCTTTGGTTGATCTTTCCCCCTTACCCCCACCCTCCCCTACCTTCCCTCCAAGGCCCGACAGTCCAATCAATGCCTCTCCGTCTCTGGATCAGTCCTTGTTCACCAGTTTATGTTGTTCATTATATTCCACAAATGAGTGAGATCATGTGATATTTATCCTTCTCTGACTGGCTTATTTCACTTAGTATAATGCTCTCTAGTTCCATCCATGCTGTGGCAAATGGTAAGAGTTCCTTTTTCTTCTTCCTCTTCTTAAAGAATACCTTTCAGCATTTCATATAATGCTGGTTTGGTGGTGGTGAACTCCTTTAGCTTTTGCTTATCTGTGAAGCTCTTTATCTGACCTTCAATTCTGAATGATAGCTTTGCTGGATAAAGTAATCTTGGTTGTAGGTTCTTGCTATTCATCACTTTGAATATTTCTTGCCACTCTCTTCTGGCCTGCATGGTTTCTGTTGAGAAATCAGCTGACAGTCGTATGGGTACTCCCTTGTAGGTAATTGAGTCTCTTTCTCTTGCTGCTTTTAAGATTCTCTCTTTGTCTTTTGCTCTTGGCATTTTAATTATGATGTGTCTTGGTGTGGTCCTCTTTGGATTCCTTTTATTTGGGGTTCTCTGCGCTTCCTGGACTTGTAAGTATTTTTCTTTCCCCAGGTAGGGGAAGTTTTCTGTCATTATTTCTTCAAATAGGTTTTCAATATCTTCCTTTCTCTTCTTCTGGCACCCCTATAATTCTGATGTTGGTACGCTTGAAGTTGTCCCAGAGGCTCCTTACACTATCTTCATATTTTTGGATTCTTTTTTCTTTTTGCTTTTTCGGTTGGGTATTTTTTGTTTCTTCGTGTTTCAAATCTTTGACTTGATTCTTGGGATCCTCTTGTCTGCTGTTGGTTCTCTGTATATTATTCTTTATTTCAGTCAGTGTATGCTTAATTTCTAGTTGGTCTTTTTTCATATCCTCCAGGGTCTCACTAAATTTATCGGCAGTTTCCAGAAAATTCTTGAAAAACTTTATAAACGTGGTTTTGAACTCTATATCCAGTCGTTTTCTTTCCTCCATTTCTGTCATTTGTGACCTGTTTCTTTGTCTCTGCATTTTGGCTGCTTCCCTGTGTTGATAGAGTGGCTTTCTGTGCTAGGTGTCCTATAGGGCCCAGTGGCTCAGCCTCCCCAGTTACCTGAGGTGGACACTCTTGGTGCACCCCCTTGTGGGCTTTGTGCACAGTCTTGTTGTAGTTATGCTTTGATTGTTGTAGGTATCACTGGGAGGAATTGATCTCCAGGCCAATTGGCAGTGAGAATCAGCTGTGTCTGCAGTGGGAGAACTTCTGTGCTGAAGACACCCTTCTGGGGCAAGACTTGTTTCTGTGGGGCTTTGGTGCTCACTGAGTCTGCCCCCTGAGTGTGTCCCTTATGGATCCGAGGAGTTGTAATCTGGATGGTCCCACTCTGACCACTGGGTACACTGGCTCTTGGATCTAAGGAGGTGCTATTTTAGCCTCTGCCTGAGGATACCCAGCAGGAGCTACGAAGAGATCTGCAGGTTCCCCTTCCTTTTTTGGGGTTTGGAGGTGCCCAGGTGAGGCCCAGCTGTGAAGCAATGCAAGCTGCTGTGGGGCCTTGGGCCTTCTCTTGGAAGTTCTGGGTCTGTCTGGCCCAGCTGCAATTTGTTAGGTAATTTTCAGGTTGCAAAAGGCCAGGGCATTCATATGCAAAAGCCTCTGCTGCAGCCTGGGTGGGGCGGGGTCTAGGAATCAACAGGGCTGAGCAAGCAGCTATGGTTGTTCCTCAGCCCTGCCATAAGGGGCCGCGTGTCTCAGTGTCCCCGTAATTGCTGCAAGCACCTCTGAGGGAAAGCCTCCCTCAAGTTCCGAGTTCTGCCTGCTGCCAGACAGTCCAGTTTCTCCCCTTATGAGCCCTGGGTCCCCAGAGACTTCCCGGAACCAGAGTTCAGAGCAGTCGGGAGCTTGTGACTCCCTCCCAATTCAAAAAGACAGCCACGTCCTCAGGTACCAGCCCCTTTCCGCGCACACGCTCTAGCCTCCGTACCTCTGCACTTTACTTCCGCACCTCCTCTGAGTCTCAGTGCTTTTCTCTTTCCTTCTAGTTGTAGAATTTCCACTCAGCCAGACTTCCTGTAGTTCTGGATGATGTCTGTTTTGTCTTTTCGTTGTATTTTTGAAGTTGTTGTGGGAGGCAGCAATTTCCGGTGTTTACCTATGCCGCCATCTTGGTTTCTCCCCAGCACTTCTTATTTGTGCATTGCCTGGACACCCTAAACTTTGAGCCTACTCATGTTTATGTTGTTCATCAGTTTATGTTGTTCATTATATTCCACAAATGAGTGAGATCATGTGATATTTATCTTTCTCTGACTGGCTTATTTCACTTAGCATGATGCTCTCCGGAACTTTCAGACCTTTAAAAAATTCTCCTAGTTCCATTCTTGAGAAATGGTATCTCATTGTGGTAATAAATTACATTTCCTTGTTTGCTGGCAAAGTTGAATATCTTTTTATATGTTGATTATTTGTTTCCTATAACTTACATATTTATGTTCTTTGCCCAATTTTCTATTATTTTTTTTTACTAATTTCTGGGAGTTTTGTATATATTCAGGAATCTAATACTTTATTAGTTAATATGTATTTCAGTCTATAACTTATCTTTTCTCTTTATTAACATAAATTCTTCATTAATGAACAAGAATAGATCAGTCTTTATCTTTATGATCTATTTATTTTTCTGTGTCCTGTTTAAATAATCCTTTCTGCATCCGGATCCATGAGGGAATGATTTGGTCTTGTTTGATCTTGTGTCCCCAGGACACCAGGTCCCAGTATGTAGTTGTTGAGT